TGGCACCCGAAAGCAGTTCAGGTAATGGAGCAGAACTCGCCGATCATGGAGCAAAACGGAGCGAAACTCGGAGAACAGAATGAATATGATCAAACAAAATTTTCACTGGTATGGGGGAGCTAGGAGAGATTCTTAATAGGAGCTCGTAGGTCATTCCAGGTAATGGAGCAAAACTCGGCGATCATGGAGCAAAATAGAGCAAAATGGATCAAAACTCGGAGAACAAAATGCGCATATAGAAACTCCAACGTGTTGCAAGGAGAGATTCCTGGGAGCTGTGTAGTTCATTCCAGAACCGCTTCTGGGTGCAGTGTGCGAAGCACCTGGAGCATTTCACGCCCATTATAGTCAATGCGCTTTGCACTCGAACACTTGAAAATCAGTTACAGAAAAAACAGGCGAGGAAAGTGAGAGCAGCTTGAGAGCGCCAAAATCTGTTCGCTCGAATGTGTAAAATTGTAGCCGGAGTACTTCGGACTAACTCGAAAGCACTGAGCGCTCAAAGCGTGGCATTCGAAAACGGCTCGTGATGGAGCAAAACGAGCTGATCATGGTGCAAAATGGAGCAAGACTCGGAGAACACAATGAGTAATTTCAAGTTTCAAAATTTTCACTGGGAGGCAAGAAGAGATTCTTTGGAGCTCTGTAGGTCATTCCTGGTAATGGAGCAAAACTCGCCGATAATGGAGCAAAACGGAGTAAAACTCGGAGAACAAAATGAGCATGTTCAAATTTTAAAATTTTTACTGAGGGGGCTAGGAGATATTTTTGGGAGCTCTGTAGGTCTCTCCTGGTAATAGAGCAAAACTCGCCGATTATGGAGCAAAATAGAGCAAAACTCGGAGAACAAAATGAGCATGATCAAATTTCAAAATTTTCACTGGGGGGGCTGGAAGAGATTCTTGAGAGCTCTGTAGGTATCTCCTGGTAATGGAGCAAAACTCGCCGATAATGGAGTAAAATGGAGCAAAATGAGAGCAAAATTATGGGATAATTTTCATCCAGAAATTTTCTATGGGAGGGGGCTAACTTAGCTGACCCACCCATAATATTAGTTATTGCCTATTAGAACTAGAAATATTCTAGAAAAGCTCCATCAGATTCAAGGCTTCTAATCTTAATATAAAATAGAATAGTATAAACTGAGAAAGTCAACAATAATGTGCAAAGAAAGGAAGAGACGGGAAAGATGATCATTTGTCATCATACTGATAATGATGTGGTATAATCGGTAGAAGTTTTCAAAAAGTGCAAAATCTAAAAACCGAACAAACAGTCAGCACAAGCTATTTTTCTAGAAATACTGGATCTAGGAATGGTGCAGCACAGGGTTGTTAGATATCAGAAAGAAACTCAAAAAACTGTAGTGGTAAATGGGAACTTATTTATGAGAATTATAAAAGAGAGGAAAAATATACGAAACACCAAAATAATGGATTAGAAGGAACAAACTAAAATTATGGGGACTTTTTCAGAAAATTATTAAAAAAAAAAAGGGAAAAATTATTCAAAAATGTCAAGAGAGCCCGTTGAAAAAATAAGTTAAAAATAATTTGTAATAAATATTTACATAAATAAAATTATATTGTAAAAATTGACTTCATAATATCAAAAAATTATCACCATTAACTTCCTATTTACACTCGACGTAACAATTGTTTATCCTTAAGTAAAAGCTGTTAGTTGCAAACAATAAATCTGGCTTTCTTATTTTTATAATTTGTCCATTGAATTTTGATTTCAATGCACACTGCCGTGAAAAATTGTCGAGATGATGATGAAATCATTTTTCTATATACTTCCTTAGATTCATTTCTCAATAAATAAATTGTATATAGAGATTTTCTGAATTGATTTTTAATCGACAATAATCATTTAAAAAAAAACTCCAAAAATAGTTATAATATTACCTACTGGTATATCTTTGAAAGTCACAATGCAGTTATAATTTCTCTCACTACCTAAGCTTTAATCAACAAAATTGATAAATTTTTAGAACAGTGACTTTGAAGAAAATTATATTTTTGCCTCAGACTCTTTATAATATTTCAAGCAGTGATTGAGCTCAATCTAAAATACTTAGTCGTCAACAAAAATATATCACTGTCCTGTAAAATCCTAAATCCACACACAAACTTGCGTCCAAAAAAAAAATCCAAAATCCGAACGTAAATAAACACTGGGTGTACACTTACCACGTAAGTACGCATGATCGTAAATGCACTCGACAGACGTTAAAAAATTAAAAGAAAATTGCAGACCTCTAATGAAGATCCACAAGTTTGTGGTGAAGAACATCTTCGTAGCTTTATTTATACATTTCGGCCGGGCTCAAGTGAAAGTGATGCGGACGAATCTTCAGGAGTCGGTGCTTTGAAGATCGACAATTTTGAAGGTCTTCTTGAAGTGCGTGTGTGGGTGCTAGGGTAGTTAAGGTAATTTGAACAATTTTGATTTAGTTAGTCAATTAATTGAACATTTTTGTATAAGGCGTTTTTTCCTTGAAACCTCAAAAATTGATATATATGACGATTTTTGGACTTTTGCAGTATTCTTGAAGATTATTTCTTTATGGTAGATAGATTTAGCAACAGTATCAAGCCATTTCGTAGGTCTTGCAGTTCGATCCCTGTTTTGAAAGTAGAAAAACCATTATTTTGCGCATCAAATCTCATCATTCATCAAAAACTCAAAATAAGATGAGATTTACCGAGAAGTTTCTAGTTAATATCTAAATGAACGCCAGAAGGTATATGATGTGAGAAACTTGTATGAAATCTATCCTTGATAGCAGAATCAAATTTTCAGTGATTTCAAATATTTGCAATAAAAAACATTTAGTAGATCTTAGATCAGGTTCATCCTCAGAACTGTGCTGGTTTGGTAGGGAGTCACCGGAAAAGCCTCCACCGTAATAATTGCCTACTGAATCTTAAATTCTTCGGCCTCTTTCGGACCAATATCCACGTCGCAATCTTGCTCTGAACAGATTTTCCTTTTCTGTCTATTTCTCCTGTTCCAAGTGTTCCATAATCTTCATGGTTTTGTAGGTACCGATTCTTGGCCTAGGATATTGTAGGCATTTGTTCTCTTCTTTGATTGGTTTTATCTCATTGTTTGTCTCCATGTCTTATTTGACAGTTGATTTATTCATATTACAATTTGATTCCTGATAGCTTAGAAGATTACTTGGTTGCCTCATCAAGTCTTAACCTTTGTTTCTTTTTCTTTTTCTTTTTGTTATTGTTCCTTTAATCTATCATTGATGTCGTTCATGTCATCTACTTTTCATTTTAGTTTCATGTCTTTTTCAAGTACAGCCTCGAAATTGTCCCCGCATACTTTCAACAGATAAGAATCAAAATTCATCCTTTTGTCGAAAAAAAACAATTTCTATTTGCCAATTTTCTCTTCGAATTCTTCTTGGAACCTAATTTGGCATAAAGTTAAAGAAAATGTCTAAGCATAGAGTACTTGAGCCGGCAACGCTGCTCGAAAGTCGGGATAGCAGCCCTCGGTGCAGGGCCCAGCAGTTGATATCAGGTACCTCAGGCTGCTACATGATGACATAGGTTATTTTTTTCGTATTTCGGGCGAAAAGTACCGATAAAAATAGTACATTTTCACGTTGAAGAAGCATTGTCCCAAATTAAGGCAGGCTCTCAGTATTTTAGCAAGCTAGACGTCACATCTGGATTCTACCACATTTCACTGGATAAGGAATCGCTACTGATAACAACATTTATAACGCCATTTGTTTGCTATGCATTTAAACGCTTGCCGTTAGGAATCACTTCGGCACTAGAGAGGTTTCAAAGACAAATGTTAGAGATTTTGGAAGGACTAAAGGGAGTAGTCAATATAGCAGATGACGCATTAGTATTTGGTAAGAACAAGGATGAACACGACTCTCGTTTGAAGGCCGTGCTAACACGTTTACAAGAAAAAAATATATAAAACTAAATAGAACAAAATGCGAATTTGGTAAGAAAAAAATGGCTATAGCTAGGCCATAGCGTTTCAGATTCAGGAATTGAAATCGATGAACAGTATGCTGTATAGACCCATGTTGTCAAAATGAGGAATACCAGAGACTATTAGAACAGACAATGGGCCTTGTTTTTCTAGCCACATATTCAAACAATTTGCTCAGACATATGGATTCAGTCACATCACAAGCAGTCCTAGGTATCCTCAATCAAATGGGCAGGCGGAATCCGCTATGAAAATAGCCAAGAATATAATTCTAAAATGGAAAGACCGAAACTTAGGACTGTTTAGTTATAGAACAGCAAAACTAGAGAGTGGATTTTCACCAGCAGAACTGATCATGGGAAGAAAATCTAGGAATTCAATTTCACCTAAAAAAGACAGATTTATTCCTAAGTGGAACTACATAAACGACTTCAAGGAAGTCAGAAACAACGAAAAAGAAGTTCAAACATTGAATTTCAATAAGCGACATAGAGCAAGATCAAATTCTACCTTGAAAAATAACGATAAGGTTTGGATACCCGATATGAAAATGTTTCGGAAAGTAATGGACCTGGAACATACATTATCGTCGCAGAAAATAACGTCATCAGGTGAAACAAAAGCCAAGTTATAGAAGTAACCTCAGAAGCGATGATAAGATAAATACTCGACTAGAGATGTCCAATTGGAAACTCCTCGAAAGTTGCAACGATGAGTCAAGCTCAGAATCAAAGGGTGAGGATGGTGGGGATTATATGAACACAGAATACGGTTCAGCCGCATCACAAAGCAGCAGACTAGAAATAATTGAAGGCAATAGCTCCAAAAGTGACAACGACTCCAACCACTCCATAATATCTGAGCCAGGCTCCGAGGAGAAGACCTAAGTCTATAACTTCACTCACCAGAGATTCACCACCAGATCAGGAAGACTAGTCAAGTCTGCACGTCGTTGCACTGGAATATGTAGTGAAGATTAGTTAAAACAAAAGTGAGAATGAACATTGTACAGTGTATATAGTGAATTAGTGTGTAGTTTTATCCATAATATTAATATACCCAGTGTAAATAGCAATAGTTTAAGCCTAGTCGCGTTGAAAGACACTCACTTGGTGAAATGGGAGGATGTGGCATAGAGTACTTTAGCCGGCAGTGCCGCTCGAGAGTCGGGATAGCAGCCCTCGGCGCAGAGCCCAGTAGTTGATATCAGGTAAGCGTACCACATAATGTTAAAAAATACTTCAATAATTGCATCAAATCTAATTCTATTATTTATATTATCTCTCACCATATCTTTGAATATAACTTTAACATTGATGATCTACTTTTTCAAGAATTTTTTTCTTTCCTAATCCAATACCAATATTTTACCACTTTTAATTATTATAAATCCGATAAGATCCAAGATTAACTTTGGGTTCATCCACTCGAGCAGGAAACAAGAAAATAATAATAATGATTAAATTTCCGGAATTCTCGGATTTCTATTTTAACTATTTTGTATTTTGCTGATTTCGACCTCTTCGTTTCACTAATAATTGATTACGTATAATTTTACATAAGTAAATGAATAAATCGAAAAATTAATTCAATTTTCAAATAAACTTGCCTATTCGAAAATAGATTTCAAAATAGTTCACATAATTTTCAAAGTCAATTAACAAAACCAATAAAATTACGCACAATTACGCAATTTCGACAGATTTTATTTTCATTTAAATTGAAAATGTTTGGTAATTCAATATCAAGAACATATGGGTCAAGATCCAAAATTATAGTGAATTAAATAATATTCAATGTGTTGCTATTCGAAAAATTTGATTCAAAAGAATACGAATTATAAATTTAACTAGACAAAAGGAGGCAATTGAAGATTTTATGCAATCACTGCAAGACTATTTTAATAGCTTACATTAATAAATTAAATTGCTTCACCAAAAAATAAGAAATCTAAGTTTGCAGACATTTACATACTTTTTCAAATAAGTTTTTAAAGTTTCTAGTGATGGATTATCATATTCAATGAACAATAATTGTACAACATACAATGTGTAATTTATTAAATCATACATAAGATCATTATGGGTCATAGGTGCACTAGTAATCGTGTAGATTTGTTTCGTTTTTACTTTGATCGATTAGGTTAATTAGGTGGTCTTGACCTAATTTTGCAATCAATATAATGAATTTTGCGATAGAAGTTTTACTGTAACAAGTAGTAGATACACAATCATGAAGTAAGATGATCAAGAACTCGAGGAAAAAAAAGACTTGGAACAGAATACTGGATTTCAAGGCAGAATAGAACTGAATCCGCATAGTCCAAGGCTTGGGGCTGTCTTCAAAAACTCAGGAACAACAAATGTAAGTAACTAGAAGAATCAGGAACTCAGCACAGAGGCAGAAGAAATTGTAAATAGAGAGAATAATCATTACAAGGCTGCAAAGAGATGGTATATATCATAGAGTGGCAGGATTAAACAAGAAACCACAGACCTCCCTCATTCCAGAGCAACCATTTCGATTCGGAGCATACCTTTGGACTGAGCTTCAGCCGCTCTATGGATAGTCAACTGGAACAATTCTGACTCGTTCCAAACGAATACGATAGTGCTAATCCAGAACTTCCGAGCAGGCAAAACTTACGCAGCAAGCAAAGATCAAGGATCAGAAGACTGGAACATGGAGTACTTTGAGGAAATAGTGCTATATTTTAATAAAAATTAATAAGACAAGCAGTTTCGGACAACAATTTATAGTTTTATTCTTTCCAAAACAGAACAAAAATTTGTAACCTAACAACATGATGGACATCCATTTTTTGTTGGATCAACATTGGAATAATCACAGTTTGGCGGATTGTAATTGGGCAAAGGACATTCTATTCTTCCGCACGGAGGACAACAAGGTCTCAAAACGTACTTAATTTCGCCTACCAAAGCTGGATATGCGTATGGAATTTGATAGCAAGGCGTGGCCAGAGCTGGGGCGCATGTGCAAAACGGTGGCGGTGGAGGTTTCCACGACATCTTTTCAACTGGAAATTTGGAATACTAATTGAGCTTGAAAATTTGATTTGACTTTTGTCTGGAATGACGGAAAATGGTGGCTGTCTATTATGATACCATGAAAATTCGAAAGGTACCACAAAAGGTACTATTCGTTGTCATGACTTTCAATTGTAACCTAAATAGGGTCACATTTTTACTGATTTTACAAAATTTACAGTGTGAGAATATGGAAATCTCATTCTTTTATAGGAAAAAAGGTTGGGTATGGCAAAAATATAAATATTTCACAGGTCAGTCGAATGTTGATGCGTGTAAAGCAGCAAACCTTGCTTGATAAATACAAACCTACTCAAATATTATTCAAAAAAAATCGCTTTATAAATCTTTTACCGGGTTGATAAGTAGGTATACTTGCTTAAATATTTTAAGATCTACACAAACGTCCTTCTTGTCCAAATTTGTACAAGTAAACAGAACCATTTAAGGGCTGGCCACCGTCAATAAAACAACCGATTAAACGCATTTTCGTATCAGAATGAATGCCCCTGTTAAACTTGACCTCCATACAACTTGTACGCACATTTTGCTAGCACCGTATTGTAAATTAATTTGATTGAACAATAAGTCTTCAAAATCAAGACAATAATTCCTACTTCATCAAAGTAGGGTTTCAATGTTTGAGTGGGTTGAAATATTATAAATTCAAATATTTATTAATAGTTGAAAGGTTATATACATGATTATTATTTGAATTTATGTTTTCCCAAAAAACATGTAATTCAAATTATTATTTCTTTGTCTCATCACCACAGGATATGGGTCGAGGTCAATAGAGATGCGTTATTGTTGCAATATAATTTTCATACACATGTACGTAAACGAGAACAATAAAAATAAAAACATTGCCAGTAATCTATCCCACGCGAATTCTGGGCAAAAAGTAATTTAACACGATAGGATAACATCTCAAAATATTTAAGTATGTTATTCATAAGTACGTTTATAATTGGTAATTATATTTAATTACCTAAGTGTTTGTTCTAGATTTTTGTCGGCAAAAAAATTGTTACTACACTCGGGAGAGAATCATATTTTTAATAAGTGAGTTTGATTTTTTTACTGGTGTTGATGATTTTTTTGTGGGGTTTTAAGTTTTAATTTGCATGGTGGTATGCCCGAAGTTTTTGTATATTGAAAATATCGATTCTACGAGCTTCAAATTATCGACTTGTCTTTGGATTAAACATTACACTAAAAGGATTTGAACTAAATTAAAGCTTATTTGATTATCCAACACAAAAACACGATTAACGGAGTTCGAGGGTTTCTGAGCTATCTTGACCAAAAAAGTAGATCAGCCCACACAGGACCAAGGCAATGCATCTTTATACAACAATGCAAAGTTAACCTAACATTCTTGATAATTTAGAATCTGAACTAGCAGATTTAGAAATAAGATTTCTCCAATCAGTCCAGCCCTTATTCTGATTAAGGTGGGAAAAGCATGCTTTATGTATTCGGGTCGAACAGCTGGTTCTCCGAATACAGCGTGCCTGATTCTGGCTATTACTGGACACGTGTATAGGACATGTTTGTCCTCTTCCATGCACAGGCGACACTGAACATCTTGTGCTAATCCGATCCTGTGCATGTGATGCCGAAATCTGCAGTGTCCAGTGTACAGAGTGTGTGCAAGGTTTTGAGGCTTTCCCTACCCATTCCCAAAAGTATGTTCGCCACTTTTTTCCTTTTTGTGCTGGGTACAAAGAATTTTGCATGGTTTATACCTGGTAACCTCTCCCAGTATTGTTTGGCCTCATCTAAATTGACCTAAGATTGCGTGGTAGGCCATATTTAGACATTGAGGAAGTTAGTATTAATGTTTTAATCTTCGCAGTGGATCAAAATGAAACAATCATTACTGATTATAATAATCTTGGATTTTATTCTTCTTGTATAAAATCAACTAAACATGTGCAAGGCTTACAACAACAACTTTTAGACTGCAATAATTGTAATGACACATGTCAATAATAAACTAAACAAATTACTTGACAGTTTCCATATAAATACGTAACCTAAGGTGCTTTCAATACTCTTGCTCTTCTACACTTTGAACAGAGCACTTAGAACACAATAGAACAATATTTATTTCTAACAGTTAGCAGCACATTGGGAGCAGGATCTTTAAAATGCACTACTGCTTTGTCCTGCTTCAAACCGCAACCCATCAACACCCATCGTTTTTGAAATTATCGATTTCCATTTTGGTTGCTAACTTCACCCTTGACAATACATTGAGAGCAGGATCGCTGAAACAGGTTCCTGCTTGTGCTGCTATTGTCCTGCCTAATCATGCTTCAAATCTGACCCCGGCAACACGTACTATTTTCGAGATACAGCGATTTTTATTTGGGTTGCTAACTTCACTCTTGGCAAGACACTGGAAACAGGAATGCTCAAACATGTTCCTGCTTGTGTTGCTATGGTTCTGCCTCATCCTGCTTTAAATCACATCTCGGCAACACTTGCTATTTTCGAGATATAGGGATTTCCATTATGGTTGGTAACTTCACCCTTTACCTGGCAACACATTGGAAGCAGGATCGCTCCAAAATGTTTCTGTTTGCATTGATGGTCCTGTTTCAAACTGCTCCAATCACCCCAGCAACATCTAATTTTTTTGAGATACACACTGGTAGCCTCAAAAGAGTCTAGTCGTAGGAATACGGCAAGCTCGAGACACCGTTGCCAAATGGATCGTAATGAGTACTTGTCTCTGTATGTTGGTATTTTCGACAAAAAATATCTAATCCAAACTAATTCAAACTAATCCGTACTTTTTTAGTGAATGCTAGTCTTTGTATGTTGGTATCTTAGAGGAGAAGAGCTAATCCAAGCTAACCCGTCCTTATACTAAGTGCCAGTTTTTATACGTTGATATTTTAGACGAAAAGATCTATTCCAATGTAACCCGTCCTCATACTAAGTGCTAGTCTTTGTATGTTGGTATTTTAGATGAAAAAAGCTTTTCCAAACTAACATGTCCCCGTAATGAATGCTATTCTTTGTATTTTGGTAGTTTAGATGAAAAGAGCTAATCCAAACTAACCCGTCTCCGTAATGAATGCTAGTCTTTGTATGGTGGTATTTTAAACGAAAAGAGCTAATCCAAGGATTGAACTGAAACTAATCCTCTTAATAATTTTTAAGAAAAAAAGAAAAATAAAAACTCTACGGAAGCGCAGAGAGGCCACCTATCCCAGGACGGATTGGTTTCAATCCAATCCTTAGATTAGCTCTTTCCACCTAAAATACCAAGATATAGAGGCTTGCATTCATTACAGAGGGACGAATTAGTTTGGATTAGCTCTTTTCGTCTAAAATACCAACATACAGAGACAAGCACTCATTGCGATATATTTGGCAACAGTGTATCGAGCCCTTCTTATTCCTACGACTAGACTCTTGAAATGCTACTAGTGTGTATCTCAGAAATATAAGATGTTGCCGGGGTAAAAATTGAAGCAGGATGAGGCAAGATCATAGCAACACTTCCAATGTGTTGCCTAGCGAAGGATGATCTTACGAACCATAATGAAAATTTCTGTAACTCGAAAATAGTACATGTTGCCGGGGTGTGATTTGAAGCAGGATGAGGCAGGACCATAGTAACACAAGCAGGAACATGTTTGAGCGATCCTGCTTCCAGTGTCTTGCCCAAGGGTGAAGTTAGCAACCAAAAAAAATAAAATAAATCGCTGTATCTCGAAAATAATTGGTGTTGCCGGGGTCAGATTTGAAGCAGGACCATAGCAGCACAAGCTATCCAATGAAGTTAAGCTCAGATCGAACTTTTGCAAGTTATTCCGCTTTTTCGTTATCTTCTTGTCCGGTAATAGAGGTGGGAAGAAAAACAGGAAGAAGAAACAACATAAGAAGTAGAAACAAAATAAGGTTTTCTTTCCGAATACAATTTGTCAAAGCCTCCTCTGTTACCTGAATGTTATCTCTATAAGAAACGTGCCTTTTCAAAAAAAACTGGACCAGCTAAAAGTACTAAATCAATATTCTCTAAACAAAGTACTTCTCTCAAGAGCGAAAAGATTTAATCAATATAATATTGGTACTTGAGTGTAATGCCTAAAAATATCGCTTGATTAAATTCCTATTTAAAAAATGTTCAAAACAAAGTACTTTCAAGCACTTATCATAATTTTTGGATTCCTTTAAAACACTCGAACATAAGATTTAAAAAAACACGTGTGATGAAAAATCCAGATATAAAACCATGGAACCATTTTTCCTATAAATTGCAACGATTCTAGAAATTGGCCAGTGTCCTACAGATACAGCAAGATGAAGGTATTACTGGCATTACTTTTTTGTACGAGTGCTGCTTTAGCACAGCACGATGCCCATTGGGTCGATGGTAGAAACACCATCGTGCACCTTTTCGAATGGAAATGGTCAGACATTGCTGCCGAATGTGAAAATTTCTTGAGTAAGAAAGGATTTGCTGGTGTTCAGGTGAGAATAATATTTGTTTAAGGTTGTTTCATATCCCAGAGATTCATAGAAGAATACCCGTAATTCTTCAATTTGTGATTCCAATGAAAAATTCTAAAAAACTTTTACTCAAAAATGCTTATACAATAATGGAGGTGTGACACCCTTCAAAAATCAAACGCTTTCTCTAAGATTATTTTATTACAAGTACCATCATCATTAAAAATAAATTAGTTTATTGGGGGGCCTTTCAAACATCATATTTGAAGTGGTAACTATTATCTATAATTATTTAATGATTAATTAACTTTACATAGATTTCTCCTCCAAGTGAAAATGCCGTTTGCGACGGTAGACCGTGGTGGGAAAAATATCAACCTGTCAGTTATGTTCTTAACAATAGATGTGGTGACGAAAATTCTTTAGCTGACATGATCAGAAGATGTAACAATGTTGGAGTAAGGTATGCAATTCTCCAAAAAGAAAAATAATTACCTTGCAACTGAATATTATTATTCCAGAATCTATGCCGATTTAGTAGTAAATCACATGGCTACCTCAACTGGTCAAGGTACTGCGGGCAACAACTGCGATCCAGGATCCAAATCTTATCCAGCCGTATCCTATTCGAATGAAAACTTCCACGCTTCTTGCGATATTAATTACAGCGACGCCGCATCTATCAGAAACTGCGAACTGTCAGGTCTTAAGGACCTCGACCAAAGTCAAGACTACGTCAGAGGCAAAATTATCGAGTACATTAATCATTTGATTGGCTTAGGAGTTGCTGGTTTCCGTGTCGATGCAGCCAAACATATGTGGCCTACTGATTTAGCCGCTATCTTTGGTAGTGTAAATGACTTGAACACTGAATTTTTCCCTGGCGGTTCCAGAGCACTTTATTACCAAGAAGTTATCGATACCGGTAAAAATATTAACATTAATTAACTTGAAACAAATTTCTATTGGAAAAAATATTTAGGTTCTGATCCAGTGTCCAACACCGAATACACTGGCTTTGGCAGAGTTTGCGAATTCAAGTTCGGTGCTCAACTTGCCAATTGTTTCAGAGGTAATAATCCATTGAAATATCTAACTAACTGGGGTACTGGCTGGGGTCTTCTTGATGGCTATGATACGTTAGTGTTTATTGAAAATCACGACACTGAAAGAGGAGGCTCCACTATGAACTACAAGGAAGGTAAAAATTACAAGGCTGCAATTGCTTTTATGTTGGCGCATCCTTACGATGGTCTTACCAAAGTGATGTCTTCCTACTTCTTTGATTACAGCGACCAAGGTATGAGTAAATCTTTTTTTATTATAGAATTATTTTAAACTATTTGTTTACTTTTTAGCTCCACCATCAGACGGTGACAACATCCTTAGTCCTGGATTCAATCAGGATGGTACCTGCACGAACGGTTGGGTCTGTCAACATCGTTGGTCACCTATATTCAACATGGTAGAATTCAGAAATGTCGTTGCCGGAACTCAACTTAACAACTGGTGGACCGGAGGTGACAATCAAATCGCTTTCAGCAGAGGAGACAAAGGATTAATCGCGATTTCTATTAATGGAGATATCAACTCAAACATTCCTACAGGCTTGCCCGATGGTACTTACTGCGACGTCATATCTGGAAGTTACGAAAATGGATCTTGTAGTGGAAAAACTGTAAATGTTAATGGCGGACAAGCTTACATTCAGATTAGTTCTGGCGATAGTGAAGCCGCTGTAGCTATTCATGTGAATGCAAAATTATAAAAAGTTTGAAATAAAATGTGATATTTTTTATTTTTTGAAATTGCATTGTATTTTTCCAAAAACCTCAATTGAAGACCTTGGCAGAAGAATGGGATATGCCACATTTTGGCGAAATCGAGATTAGATCACCGTTCTATCATAAATTTGATGTCTGTGGTCCCCAAAAAATATTATAGCGTTCAGGCGACAGAGGGCGCTAGGATCTCAAAATCTTCTTCTTCTTCAAAGGAAAAAGTAGCATATTTTTTGGGCAAGAAAGGGATTGCCACACATTTTTAATAATGGCGGAGCCACGTGCTCGTGCAGCTAAGCGAAAATTATTTTTTTATGATACTTCTTGAAGTGAAAATAGTGATGTGTATGGCTCAGATGATAGCGTAATGGACCGAGATTATGTGGAAAGTGGAAGTAGCGATAGTTCTTCATTGGATTCATCAGATCAGGTAAGTAGAAAAAAATGTGGCTTATCTCCTTTTTGGCGTATTTTTTGTGGCATATCTTTTGATTTTTTTGGTTGGTTTTTTCTGAAAACATAGACAATTTAAGCAAGTTTTTTCTTTACTATAATATTACAGAACTTTAGTTTCTTATACTTTTCGAATGAAAATTTTACAATCTTCATTTTAAGCACTTGAAAAAAATTAAAAATGGCTTATCCCCTTTTTGCCTGGCCAATATTTCACGTTTTTTTGTGGCTTTTTCATTGCAGAATTTCATGAATTTTGCAGGAAGATGATCATACCGTAGAAGCACCTATTCCAACAACTACACCAAAACTTGCTTCAACAATACCAGCACGTGTTCCAACAGCCCCAGCACCCGCCCCAACAAACCCTGCACCTATTCCAACAACCTCAAGGGGAACACTACCAACTCCAGAAAAGGCGACACCCTCCAGGTGGAAGAAATCTAGAAAAGAATGGAGAAAAAAGGACAAATCAAAAATAAGAAGAAATTTAGGGTACAGTTACAAGAGCTCGAAAGGAAATGAAATAAGTGCCAGAGAGTTGGGAGCACCATGTTCGTGCAAAAAAAAATGCCGCGAATTACTGAGGGGAAGCGAAATGAGTATTTTTAAATCATTTTGGGACCTGGGTGACTACGATAAGCAAAATATTTATTTATACGCTTGCATGAAAGCCTTGCCTAAAAAACGATCCTATCCAAAGAAAACAAAAAATCAAGCCTCTTCGAGAAACATATCAGTTGAATATTTTGTCAAAGTAAATGGGGAGCAAGTTAAGATATGCAAAAAAGAGTTTCTCTCTGTTCATGGCCTCCAGAAAAGCAAAAGAAGGATCGAATTACTCTACAAAACTTTGTCCAGTGGAGGGTTAGTAACACCTGAAAAAGATAAACGTGGTATTCACAAAAATAGACCAAACAAAACTTCCGATGAGCGTCTCGAATCGGTGAGAAATCACATAGAAGCTATTCCAAAATATACCAGTCACTATAGTAGACAAAAAAATCCAGGAAAAGTTTTTATTGACCACGATTTAAATATTTCGAAACTTTACAAAGACTATTTCATTGACTGGTGTGAGGAACGTGGACTGACACCTGTATCCGAGGATAAGTATAGACGCATTTTCTGTACCGAATATAATATTGGCTTCAGACTACCAAAAAGTGACACCTGTAGTACCTGTGATATGCTCAGAATTAAAATTGACGATCCCTCTGCCGATGCGCAAGAAATAAATCGGAATAAAGTAAAATTAGAACTTCATCAAAGGAGGGCAGAAGCCATGCAGCACAGTTTGAAAACGGAAATAGAAAACGCAAAAACTAACGGAGATACTTTTGTCATTACATTTGACTTACAGCAAGCATTGCCTGTCCCAAATTTAACAGTAGGGCCTGCTTTTTATCTACGTAAAGCCTGGGTATACAATCTAGGGATTCATGATTGTGTCACAGGCAAAGGTTACATGTACATGTGGCCAGAAAATGTTGCCAAGAGAGGTAGCGATGAAATAGCAAGCATAGTGTATAAACATTTGCGAGAAAATACGACTAGAGGGAGTAACAAAAATCTTATAGTTTATACTGATAACTGTTCCGGGCAAAACAAAAACTGGACTATTATGTGCTTGTGGCAGCAACTGGTAATAGATGGATGGTTTAAATCAGTTGAGCATCGATTTTTGGTGGTGGGGCATACTCACCTTCCTTGTGATCGAGATTTTGCATTAATAGTAAAATACAAAAAAGGCATGAAACAAGTTTATGAACCGAATGATTGGTATCAAGCTGTCAAAAAAGCAAAAAGAACAAATCCGTTTGTTGTGACTGTTATTAAGCAAGAGGATATTTTATCATTTAAAGATTTACAAAATCAAATTGTTAAGAAAAGTGTTTTGGATGACAAGGAAAAACTAAAATTTAGTCAGGTTAGCCATTTCAAGTTATGCCAAGAAGATCCAAATAAAATGTTCATTAAACATGTCATTAACGAAGATTTCAGAAGTGTCACAATGAAAAAAAGAGGAATGAGAAATAATATTTCTTTGACTCTAAGAGATTTGAAAAGGAAATATAAAGAACTGCTTCCTTTAAATGAAAAAAAGATATCTAATCTTTCTGAGCTAGTAAAATTTATTCCACCGGCATATATTCATTTTTATCAAGAGATTGGAGCATGTAATGTTGTTGAACATCCGAATTCGGAGGAAAATGGTGAGGACCTTGATGTTGACAGTGATCAAGAAAACAAGAGCGACGATGACGGCGACGCTTATGAGTAATGCACATTGTACATTTTCTTACTTTAGAAAAATTAGATAAGTTCGTAAGAATGATTCATGTTTTTGTATATTTTCTATTTTGTTTTCTTTAAAGGTTTCTGTTTTGGCAAAATCAGAAATGTTTTTATTTTTAAGGCAAGAAAAAGATAAGCCACTTTTTTTATAGAAAAACCGGTTTATTAAAAAAAAAAATGAATTTTAAGTTTGTTTTATTAATGTGTTCAAAAGTAAATAATTTTGTCATGATATGACGATTGTTTCAATTTTGTACAGTTAAAATCATGATTTCAGGATTTGATTGGATATTTAAAATGCATTTTTCTCAAAACTAACTTTTTGGGCATATCCCCTTCTTCTGCCAAGGTCTTCAATTGTTTGATAACTACATATATAATCGCAAATAAATTTAGAAAAAAAATGCAAGCTCCAAATTCCAATGGAAAAATATCAAAAACAAATCGAAGCAATATGGAGTTGGTACTTCAAATTATAGTAGTTGTGAGCGTTTCTATTTCTGTATTAGCTCAGCACGATCCTTGGTTTGTTAATCGTAGAAATACCTACGATAGTTCATTGATTGAAAGCTTTGGTTCTCAGGTAATGTGGAATATTTTTGCAATTTGATATCCATGAAAGCAGAGGTCAAGACTTTCTCATGGAAGCTTCGTTATGCATGCAATTTCCTCTGTTTAGTTGCTTTTATCAAATTTCACTATTTGTTCTAGGTATTCATATTAGCTGACATCTTTCGAAGTGAGAATTTCAATTTTGACTCTTCTTTCTTCTTTGGCTTCATTTGTCATCACTTCTATTTTCCTCATCAAGTATCGAACGGCATCGAAAAACTGTAACATTTTCCATCTCAATGGAGAATGGCAATGGCTGTAGTGGTTATGATCCCTGAACACGGAAAAAACTTCTCATTTTCCCATCCTCCTACCGCCCAAGCTTCCTTCTAAACTTTTCAAGCTCGTGGAGAAGTTGATCCTGGCCAGGTTCAACAGGATCGTAGAAAACTTTTTCCTACCCTCAAACGAACAGTTCGGTTTCTGTCCCCATAACACACTACTTCTTGCAGCCAAAATTTGGAATTTCTGTTTTCCAAGGATTCAACAGGCGCATGAACACGAGTCTTTTGCTCCTAGATATGGAGCGCGCCTTCGATAGGGTCTGGCACCCAGGGCTTATCTAAAAACTTCTTGGAATATTTTATTTCCCATTACATCTCATCTTCTATCATCAAAAATATCCTGTGGGTCATGCGAATGTGTACATTGTGGCATTCGAAACTTCTCACGGGTTAAGTTGGATTTAGGTGGTGTGATCAATTTTCACAATGAACATTATTTGCCTAATGAGAATCACCACATGGTGATAGAAATAAGATATTTTTTTGCATGTAGAAGTCGGTAATTATAGAGGTGCAATTATACTCGAAAGAAGTACAATGTGAGCTGATATAGGGTTGAGAAAATTAAATAGCAATCTTCGATGGATCCAAAACGATTGCGAAACATTGTTATTATTGCAAATCATTTCTCAATACATCTACAAACACTTGAAATATTATCATCGTAGGTATACAATAATAATAAGCACTTGAATTTTTTTTATTCCCAATAATAATAAACATAGTCAAGTATCTAAAAAATAGCATTACTTGGAAATTGATAGGTAATCAATTTTAAGTTATTCTCTTCTGCTCCAGATTTTTTTTTAAATTTTAAACCCTGAACTTTGTTTTACAGATTTGTCCACCTAGTGAAAATGTAATATGTCAAGGTAAACCATGGTGGGAAAAGTACCAACTAGTAAGCTATATGCTTAACAGTAGAAATGGAGATGAAGCTACCTTGGTTGATATGATCAGAAGATCCAACAATGTTGGAATTAGGAACAACTCATTTTTGGTTTGCTTTCCAAAGAAATGTTTATTTAATTTTTAGAGATTACGTTGATCTACATAGTTATAAATCATATAGCTGCTGCTACTGGTACAGGTACAGGTCTGGAGGAAGTGTCCACCAGGTCAAATAATTTTTTTCAAATACCCAAGAGGCCGTACAAGCGAAAGAAATAAAATATCATCAAGCAAAGTAATAGAGAATTTTATTAGGTATAATAATCTGCAGGTTTGCTATTTAATTTTTTTACGAATTCTGAAGCACTAAAATGGTCACAGCGCCTAAAGTAAAATAGCTAGCAAAAAAAGTAATGAGGCAAAGTTCATCAGAATGTAATTATCTACAAGTTTTGTAGAGGTCATTTTGTCGAAAAAAAATAAATAAGAAAAAAGCCAATAGGGCCGAACGCACAAG